ATTTTGTAGGAACTGCACGATTAAACATACAAGAAGACGGATATTACTTGAAATATATCTACTATTAAGTATGACGCTCTTCGAAGATCCTACTGTTGAGGATGAAAATGTTAACAAACTAAAGATGGCTAAGAATATTAAAGTCAACGAATGCAAAATAACCTTTTAAAAATGCTTTTAAAAAATGGAGAAATATTGAAATGCTGGATAAAAAAGAACGCGCTAAGGATAAGAATAAGGATTATTCTCCTTTACTAGGCCTACGTGGCCCTAGTAATGCAACATAGTTCAAAGGATAAAAAGAGTAAGAACCACAGGCACCCTGCCTATATGTCCCCCCCCTCCCGGAAAAATAGGGCCATGTGGCCCTGTTTTTATAGCACTGCCTTTTTTTGGCGCATTTGAACATTATCAATAATGATTTTCTCAACTATTTAGTAACCATTTATTTATATTTAAAATTTTGGTTCACTTGATTGAACATTAAATTATATTTATTTAATTCTAAATTAATTAACATTCATAACTGTCAAGTTATTTTACCGTATAAGATGGCCAACCACAATATTAGACCAGCATTTCTTAGCAAATGTATAGATACGAAGAGAATGATCAAGTTATAGCAAACGTTTTAAGTAAAATGACTTAATCGCAAGAATGTCTAACACCGCTAACATTGACAACTTTAAGTTCACCGACCAACTTAAACTTTGCTGGAAATCAGCATCCACAATGTTATCAACTCTATTTTAATTCCAATTACTTGATGCACATTTCATACGTTGACTTTAACATTATTGAACTAATCAAAAAATTTATAATCGCCTTTACCCTATTCAATATTCAAATGTATTAGGTTACTAAAGAAATTTACAACTAAATATGGTTGCTTAGCTTATAATAAATAAGTATAACAAGACACAATAATTCAATAAAATCAAATTTAATTTCTAATAACCCCCATAAACTTATTTACAAATTAATTTATTTGTTATCTCACTATAGATTTGTTAGAAATTGTTTTAAAAAATTGGGTAAGTATAAGAACAAAAAATCGAAAAGTGTGACTAACGTGTCAACTTTGACCAAATATTCGGATTTGATCTGGTGGTCAAATTACGAAAATAAATAGGCCATCTTATTTTACTCGTCGAGTAGGTTATCGTAGTATATTTGTACTCTCGAAACCAATTTTGGATGAATGAGAAATTGCGATCCAAATTTGGAGGAAATAAAACAATAAAATAAAAATGTGTACGGCCAGATAACATGTCGCTTGAGCGAAGGTTCGGCAAGGATTGATCGAAAATATTTCTATTTGAATTTTGACAGCATTGCTAAAGCGAAAATCTAGCAAAAAGCTAACGAAATTGAAGTGTTGCATTTACTTGACAGAATGCACGATTTGGCCCACACCACTTCTCTTGCACCCTTTCTTCCTCTATAAATAGGACCCTTTGGACGTGTTTTTGGACACATCATCTCATATTTTACATTGAGCATTCTTCTTCTCTTACAAAATCTCTCTTCTTCTTCTTTGCATAAAAATTCCTTTGTAGAGGGAAATTTTGTCGGAGTTGGCCGGTTCTTATGGTTTGAAGTGCTACTAATATAAGATTAAAAATTCGTTGTATTTTGGTAGACAAGTGCATGAGCATTGTTACGGGACAATATTGTTTTAAGGAAAGAGTGAAATGCACTTGCCTCAGATTATTTTTCTTCTTCTCAATTCTCATTTGTTTTTTGTTTTGGGTAGTTTTGATTCTACATTACCATACATATATTCGTGATTTATTTACGCTCTTGCAAGTTAATTCTTATCCTATTCACTACATATAAACAACTATCTCGCCGCACATATACAAGCCCAGAACCAACAAGATTAACATAAACTAAATAATGATGCTCTGGGCTCATTTGACAAGTTCCTGTTTCTTGTAAAATAGTATCTTGAGGAAGCTACGAAAAGCCAACTTTCTTATATCCCTTCTCAGATAAAATACATTTATAAAAGGGAAAATTGCAGCTGAGGCTTCAAACCTTTCAAACATTTGTGGACTTTTCCCTAACATTTCAATCATTGTAGTCGTCATCCCAAACCTTTCAAATCATTGCAGCCGAAGCCCCAACGGACGGTTTCCATCCAATTTGACGATAGTTGACCAAAAATATTATTTTTGACCACCTTCTAATCAATTTTAAAAGGGCAAAATAGTACTTTGAAATTTTTCTCATAAAATAATAGAATGCCCGAGTTGAACCACAAACCTTGTACAGAAAGTCAATCCCACCCACTTGCCTAACCCAGCAATTTCATATCTCAAATAACATCCGTTTAGCTGTACTCTAACAACAATGGAGTGACCGCAAAGCTTTTTGGACATTTTAAAGGCTTTTTTCACGTAGTTGACATAGTCGAAATTTGAGAGATCTCCTCTACATTGAAAGAGCCCATTAATGGCGGATTGGTCGTCTTCGGATGTGGCTTTGTAAAATTTTGCTGTGGAAGATTGGGAGATCAATGTGTCGAATAGAATTTTAAGCGTTAGCTTGTAAATCGCATTGAAATCCTGGAAATCTTGATTCGCACAACCTTTTTGTAAACTAAATCGTTGTAATCTGAAGAGGACCTAGAGGATGGTATTGTCTGTGCATCATTGGGTGCCTAATTTTCATCTTATAATTGTGAAATCCCACAAAATAGTAACCTCTTATAATAATCAGTTCTGGAGGGCATCGGCTATGGATCCCGCCTCATATGTTAACATACTTGCTCCAACCTCGTATGTAGTACCTTGTTGGAGATCAAAATGATTGGAAAAGGGAGGGAAAAGAGAGAGGAGAGAGATCCGGCCATGGCAGTGGCCGGTGGGGAAGATGAAGATTTACAACTTTTATGTTTTTCTTTTTCTTTTTTGCTTTTTCTAATTTAATTTTTAACTTATTTTAATATTGGAAATGGAAAGTTACTATTTTACCCTTTAAAATTGATTAGAAGGTGGTCAGAATTAATTTTTTTTGTCGACTAACACCAAATTGGATAGAAACTGTCTGTCGGCGTCTCGATTGCAACAATTTGAAAGGTTTGGGATGACGACTGCAACGATTGAAAAATTAGGGAAAAACCTACAACTATTTGAAAGATTTGGAACCTCAACTACAATTTTCCCTTTATAAAATTATCTAAACATGTTAAAAAATAAGTTAATTTTAAAAGCAATTTTTTACTTTTTAAAAGTCTCGTAAGCCTGTTCCTTTGTATATCATTTATTGCTGTCCCATGTGAAGACAAAAAGGAAAGTAAAAAGGATTTTCCCTTGTGTTGGTTAGCTAGATCACGAGAAGTCCGCCGCCAGCCACCGAGGTGGCGCCGGACGTCCGGATTTCCACATATCAATTCTTCCACCTGCCGACACCCCATCTCATAATTTTTATCACAATCTTAGACGTGCCAAAGGACAAAATAAAAACGAACACCTAGCAATTCACAATTATCCCTAATTTATTTCTTTCAATTGACATTGGACAATGAAATTAAGCCACGGCAGCACTTGGACAGCATACAATCTAGGAATATCCATCCATCTAACAAGTGTCTTCTTTCTTACATAAGCTCTCCTTATCCCAACAATTAAGGCAAAAAGACTTGATTTGCATGCTTAATTGAACAACACTATATACAAATATTTTAAAAATATTCATTAGTTGGGAAAACTTCCATCTTAAAATCGACTTGTAAAGATTGTAAAGAGAACGTGAATGAGTCAGTATAAATTTATAGAACTCACATTTACGACAATAGAACCTATTCCCGATCCCAATTAGATATAATTTTACTAGTCGAGCATGATCATAACAATAGGAGACACGATTAAGTAATCATGTTTCCCTTTCTTTAATCTTATCATCCCGTTATACCAAAATTGATTGAAGTTGAGCACCATCCTGTCAAGAACATGTGCTCGACCACTATTAGCCCAAGAATTTTCTACATTAATTAAGAAATATAAAATCATAATCTTCATGGACCCACCAAGTCAATGCTGTCGAGCTGTCACTACTCCCCTTACAATCATATAGACAATATAGAGAGAGGGAGAAAAATCTTTTGGTTATTCTTGACATTTTAAGTGATCATCTATTTCACCCTTCACAGAGGAGAGACACGTGTGCAAGTCATCTGAAGACTAACTTGCAACGAACTCGAAATGTTAAAATCAACTCCACCCAAAATCAAAGGCTAAGCCCCAAATCCATACAAATCATCAAAAGTTGATTTCCGAATTTTTTTAAAGTTGTTCCAATCTCTAAACTAATCATCTATTTTACCCGTCAAAAAGTAAGATGTGCAAGCTCGTTGAAGAGTCGAGACTGACTTACTATACATTTGAAAGGTTTAAAGAAACTAAAGCTCGAGAGTCCCAACCCATTCAAATTGTCCCAAATTAACTTTTTAGAGCCATTCTCAACATATTAAGCGACTGCCTTTATTATCGATATTTTCCTTTGGAGGTATCAGGAAGGAATTAAAATAGATTAAGATGACTCATACAGAAGAAAACATTATCTATTGATTCAACCATTATATCCTTCAAAAAGTAAGATACGTGTAACTTCACCAAAAACTAACTTGCTACAAACTTGAATGTCCAACTTGTAATATAACTCATAGATTAGGAACTTTGGGTGCAATTTTCAGTTGTTTATTTCCATTAGCAAGTGAATTAATCACTGGTAATTGCTTATTTGAATTCGTTCCACTCTAAACTACCCAGAGGATTTATAGGATTAACGTTTATTATATTGTCGGCTAATAAAAGACAAAACAGACTGCCACGTTTGACACCCATTATATTAAATTTCATTACATTTTATTTTTCTAAGAACACAATTTTTTATAAAATAATATTATACGTAAATCGAAAATTTTTAATTTTTTTTTTTCAACCACTTATTTAAAAAAAAACACTATTCCAAGTAAAAATGGGGGCCACGGGGGCTGAACTTTGCCAGGTAAAAGCGCATTTCATTAAAGAATTAGCTTTTTATTTTCCAGGCGAAACACAATAATCGAATAAAATACAAATTCGCCTGAAATTATCACTTATAATCAAATAATTGATTAAAAAAGTGAAAATACAGGAAAAAGGTGAATTTACCGGCGGACAAGTTATCGGAGCTGAGTTTACAGATTTCCGTACAAATCATAAGGGGCCCACAACGAGTCGATTGGACACGGCTGCTTGGAGTCCAGCCGAAGCCACGGCTTGCCGCTGCCGCTCCAGTGGAGAAGGCTAACCGGACCGGGGTGGATGTCCCGGCAGCTTCCCTTCACATTATCGCCGCCTAAGCCGTGCTGATTCCACTGGTGTTCGATCGGCGCGACATGTCCAGCGAACACTAGGAGAAACGGCGGTAGCGAGCCGAGCTCGTAGATCCTGCTAGGACTAGTCTTCTGTATCTCCATCCACCGCTCAATTCGCCGCGTGTACCCTAACTGCCGCCATTTGACCAGATCTATCACCATCACTCCGGTGTTGAAATAGCAAGGTTTTCTGCCGGAAAATACGCCGGGATATTGCTGGTCCGACCAGAAATACTCGGTGAAGTATTTGGTGAAATTTGCGTGACAATATTCGGGTGCTCCAATGGTCTTCTTCCCCAAGCTTGTATTCCAAAGCTTCCAAATATCATCAACCAGTACCAGATCCGTATCCAAGTAAATCACCCTTCTGACGCATGGCTCCAAAAGATCTCCCAAGTAATTTCTAGCATAATTCAGCGGTTGTTCAAGCGCTTGCCGTACAGAAGCTGAGATCAGGCTCCGGACCCTTTCCGGATCGAAGAAATACACTTTAAACTTCAATTCTGGGAAAGTGGATCGGACTAGGGTTTCGAGTCCCGGTTCAGAAACTAGGAAGTGGAAGAACACACTCTGCGGGCACTTGGAATGCTGGAGAATCGAATGAACGGCAGCTATCGAACCGCGTAAATAGTCAATATCAAGAGTAATGGCGACATGGACAAGAGAGGGATCGCACGAACCGGATTTCCCCAAATTTAACGAGCGGCATTCAATGGCATTGTGGAATACTTCTGCTTTTCTGAAAGAGAATCTGCTCAGAGAGTCTGAGGATTCAGTCGGAGCGTTTAATCGGAGATAAGAATCGGTCTGAGTGGATTTAATCGCTTCCGCCGGGGCGAATGACTGAAGAAAAGGGGAAAGTATAATCATCATCAACGTTGCAGAGAAAAACCCAGACAATCTCGCAATCCATGGCATTTTTCCTCTGTATAAGAATCTCTGATTACGCTTTCTTCTCCTTAATTTGAAATCGAAACAATTAGAAGAAATCGAAGAGATAACGAAAGCTAGGGTTCCTCTTAGATCCGCCAGAGTGAATTGCGAGATTTTCAATGAAAAATCCCAATAACAGATAGTACCTTTCCTTCTAAAATTTCTGCTCTCTAATGGGATTCCATCAGAGAGGAAGGGTAGGGAGTAAAAAAAGAATCAATCCATAAGCACAATGGAGAAGGAGAAAAGAATCGGTGGGCGGGTGGCTTGAAATTTTTGGGCGGCGCAAACGTCAGTCACATTCTCTCTCCGCCACTCTCTCTCTCTCTCTACTGGTTTCTTGGAATGGTGAAGAAACAAGCAGAGAGCCAATGCAGAGGAGGAAGATAGAAAGAGTTTTGGCCCTTTTGGGGACTGTGGAGTTGATTTATGCTTTTTGTTTTGTGTTATTTTGTTATAGTAATCGGCAAAATAAAGCATCCTAAATTTGAGTATTTGGGGAATATTGCACTGTTGGTCACTTTGGAAAATTGAAAAGGATTAGCTTAATTTCTTTGGTCAACTACACAATTCAAGCTGAAAAAAATAAAAAAACAAATTGAAATATATAAATCTACATATATATCAATACATATTCATACTATTCAAGACCCATGTGATACCGAAAGCACGATATTGGGATCAGGATTTTACAGAGCCAATTTCATTATACAAAAAGAATCGGACTAAAACCAAACCAATGCAAATCATTGTTGGTTCGGTTCGGTTGTTGCAAAATTTAGCAATTTGATTTAGAATTGAATCATTTCAATCCTAAATAAGAATTTTTTGGTCCTTAGAAAAACTAATTTTGCAAATTGTAACGAAGGTTAGTGATCATTTTGCTACTAAGGCAATAGGTTGGATGGCCAAAGTGCAATTTTCTTCAGTGTTTATCATCACCCTTAATTACTATACTATTTCAATATTAAAATGGGATTAAAAAGTAAATAAGTTTTCCTTCAATGGAAATTATTTAATCGACTAGTTGTCCTCTTGCGACGTGCATCCATAATAAAAACACCTAATAAATAGAATAATCATAAATATTAAATATCATTTTTTTTAATTTTCCAATATGTTTAGAATTTGTTTAATCAAATTCATTGGAGTTATCGTGAAAATAATCAATTAGTTTATTTTCATCAACTCGCACAATTTAAATGTATTTCAATGATTCCTATGTATATATTTCATTAATGAATAAAAAAAAATGATAATATGTTTATCGTTGAAAGAATATATTTGGCAAGTTCTTAACGGTCAAGGCTTTGAAAAGAATAAATATTCAAGTAACTAAGTTAAATTAGGTTGTTTGTCTTAACTTATAAGTCAAACTTTGCTTACACGATAAGAAAGTTAAAGATGAGGCAATTCATTTACTAAGTAAACCAACTTGGGTTATAACAAGTATTAGATACCATCCACCAACTAATTGTAATTACCATTTTAAAGCATTGAGCGTTTTATATTCCTTTCTATCACCAATATTTGAATATAAAAACATAATTGGAGCAATAGTCTTACGTTTTATAACAACTGACATTACAATAAGTGATACGAAAATACACGTTATAACAATATCACAACTTGTCAATTTATAAAGATTCAAATTCGAAAAAGTGTTGAGCTTGAATACATTGCAAGTTTAACATCCTCAGTACTTGACACTTGTCAATGATTTCTACACAAGTACACAGCTCTACATAATGGGAGATCGAGCTTTTTCAAATCTTAGTGTGATTTAATAGTTACTAATTTGTCAAATGATAGTTTTTCTATAGATATGTTACCAATACTCCACAGTGCAAGTGGTGAGAAAGCTAAAAGCTTACCAAAAACCGACAAGTTCGCATATTGATAAAGTCATTGCTAATTGTATTTCGACCTCTTCAACCATGTATTGCACTATTTACCAGTTATTGAACAATCTCATGGTGTTCTGTTTTGTAGAAACAATACGATAAGCGTATCGCGTCTGTTCGGCTCCCAATAATTTCACATTTTCTCCATTTATGGGAACACTATGTTTGAATTTAGTGTGATGACCTCCAATTGGCATCAGTTTCCCCTATTGACTCCAGTTCGGGTTAAAATGGTACGAGGGTGTTTGCGTAATTTTAACTAACTAGACGAGGGTAAAATGGTACATTTTATTTTCGACGGCCCCCATGACATTCAATTTTGACAAATTTGGTGTAACTTTTCATTTTTTTTTAAATATTTGTGTTCCTGTAGCAAAATGTGATAAGGCTGGAAAATCAATACCCCCGTTTGATCCCCATTTTTGGAATAAAATGTATTATGGAATAGTGATTTTTTAGAGAATGTGTAGTTAAAAAGTAAGTTTTATTTTTGAAATACGTGTATAATTATTTTATAGAAAAATGTGAGATTGAAAATAAGTTTTAAAAAAATGCATCCTTGAAAAAGTGGGGCTCAAACCAGGGCTAAAATGAGATTCAAATAGAGGCATAATTATGCGGACAATACTTGACATATGTCTACTCGTAAGTTTGACTCTCTGCAAAGATCCTAAGATCGAGGATGAAAATTTCAACAAACTAAACTTAGAGATAAAATTGTAAAAACATGAAGAGGTTGAACATTAAAGTCAACGCATGCAAAATAGCCTTTTAAAAATGCTTTATAAAAAGTAAAGGAATATTGAAAAGTTGGATAAAAAAGAGCAAGACAAGGATAAAAGGATTAATTAAGGTTATTGTAATTAGTATCATGCCATATGCACAATATTTGTTGACAATGTTGGTTGAAAACATAAACTTAACACGATTTCAAATAGAAAAACTTCAATCATTTCAATTTTTTGTTCAGATCGAATTGAACTTTCGATTGATCATGATACTTGGCATCCTATGGATGAAAACATGGTCTCGACCACCACGACTCCTCTCTTCTTGGGAATCCATACATTCCTTATAGAAGTATGGACAACTATCTCTCAAGCACGGGAGCAATTTACTTACGATACTTAGTTGCATTGTTAAAAAGTATCTATTGAATTATGAGTTCAATACATTATATTTACTAGAAAGACGGTTATTTTCCTTGCTCATTTCGCAATTGATTTACCAAAAAAGAAGTTTTAAATCTATTGGATTTTTTTCATCTCTCTCTCTTTTTTTTTTTTAATCAAAATTCCCTCCCAGTGTCTATAATTGCCTCAAAAGGTCCAATAATTTACTTGATATCATCATATTCATTCATTTTTAAAAACTACTTTCTACATTACAATCTTGAATTTTGACAACACGTAACTGTCAACCAACACTGTCAACCATATTTGTACCCTTAACTTTATTCAAAATCCTAAGTACATAAGGGAGCTTTAAAATAAGTAATTTTTTATTGATTAAGGCCTTGTATGAACCCCATTTTTACCTCATTAAAATGAAAAATGTGACCGTTATCCATCACATCAAGTCACAATTTTTAAATTTCTATCTCTTGTGTGGGGCTCATAACGGCTCTATTTTTCATTCTCATTCTACAAATAATGTAGCTCAAACGGGCTCTAAAGCTAATGATGAGTACACAAATTTATAACGCTAAGTATATTTTCAATCATATTTTTTAATAAAATAATTCTATACGCAAACTTAAAATTTTTCTTTACTTTTTTATCATACATAGTTCAAAAAAAATTTTTTTTACTAACCTATTATTAAAAAAAAAAAAAACAAAAATAGACTCAAACAAGAGTTAAATCTCCGTTGAAAAAGAAATTTATAAATGATTTATTAGTAAAAAAATTAATACAATCAAATATTTATAATTTACTATTTTTACCCCCTATTATCATTATGAACCATACTTGAACCAAAAGTCAACGTTAGTTGTCGTCATTTAAGACATTCAATCGTTTGGGAAGGTTGAGCACGTTCTATTAATTTTGCCGAAAGTTTTGGCTTTACTTGTGTTAATTTCAATATTATTTAATTTGAAGTTGTTTTTGTTATTTAGCTTATTTCAGGGTTATGCTTCTAAAGCCAAAGCATTAAGCTCTACACTTAGCCCATGTTTGTGACCATTTTCAAAAGGAAAGGGGGTGGGGGGTGGGGAGGGGGAATCATAAATCAGATATTAATTATCACCAAATCAATTTTTAGGCCCTAAGTTTAAAATATTTTATTAATTAAATAAAATAAGATCACAATTATACAATTTATGATCACGGGTACGTAATTATAGGTCACAATTTATTTATTGATCACATATTCTTTTGAAGTCATAAATCAAAAAAATTTATAAGTTACAATTTATTTCATTGGTCACTAATAAAAAAAAATATAGGCCATAGTATATCTATCGATCACATATATTTCAAATGTGTTGATCACAAATTATTTTTAAGTCACAGATTATCGAATTTTAATGTAAAAATTAAATAGTTGGTTATAGATAAACCAAATAGTTGGTCGCGTACACCAAATAGTGGGTTACATACCATTATCACAGCCAATTGCGATAACCGTCACCCGTCATCGTCGCCACCTCAGAAATAGCACCCCAAACACCATCACCAACACCACAACATCACCATCAACAAAATAGCCACCACTAGATCCAATATACTACCAACAAAAATCACAATAACCACCTCTATTAGATCTCTAGTCACCAACAACCATCTCCATCACCAACCACCACCACCACCATTATTGCACTACCACTGACGCCAGTAACAATCCAACAACTAAAACAATTGCTAGCGAGAACAGAGAACCTCCATATCCATCTCCACCACTCCACACCACACCACAACCTGATGATGGGATTCAACGTAGCAAGAACACCACGGAGCCTGCAGAAGAATGAAATTGGACCCAAGAAAGTTTAAAACAATAAGGTTATGGCTTTGATCCAAAAATAATGAATCAAACAGCCAACACAATCACAAGGATATGCTGAACTGATTACAAGATTTATGAAACCAAAATTTGAATTTGTAAGATCGATCTAATAAATTATTGAATCAAGAAACCAAGACAATTACAATAATATATTGACCCCGTGATCACAAAAATCTATGAATCTCCCTTGATTGGTGAACGCTACAAGATTAATCTTGATAAATTCGTTGATTGTTCTTGAAGAACAAGAAGAAAGCAATCCTGCCTCTCAATTGAATCAATATCAAAAGCTTTCCCAAAAAAAAAATAATAATGATGAAAATAAAATTACTATTTATACTAACCTAAGAAATATGGTAAAAAACGTGATTAGAGAGTCCTAGAATAATAAAAGATACCAAAAATAAGTTTTTGAATCGAAATAGACTTCTCGCAAAAAGGAAATAATTTCATCCCCATTTTGTGAGATGCGATCGCGTAGTGTAATGACTTGCGGTCGCATAGTTGCTTCGTAGCCCGGCCATTGATTCCCTGTAAGGTATTATGGGACCGCATGGGTTGCAAAGCCATGCGGT